AAACAACCTGTATATGTTTCCAGGGGCAATTAGCAGAGAGTGGCACAGCCATCAAACCAAAGGACTCCACATTCAAACATACACTTCACTGTGTTATACCAAATGATCTCAGAGACACTTTTCAAGGCACTTAACAAATATCACCAGAGCCGAAAAAGCATTATTCTTTGAAAGATAACTTTCAAAATCTTACTTGACTCTTCTCAGTTTCCGTTTGTTTTAGCTTATTTTTCATTATTCCCTCATTCTCATCTGCTTTAGCTTCTTGTTTCTTCAGTGCCTAAAATGAAAACAATTGGAAAAAATGTATTATTCTAAAAAATTTATAAAACTGAAAGTCACTAGTTGAATTTATTAATAAAAAGGCTGAGGAGGAGATGGTTATGAGTTGGACAAAATCTATAAATGAGTACAGCCTGCTCAATCACTGAATTCCTAAGGACATTTTAGTGGGGATCAAATATAAAAAACTTCCTGATCTTCATAATCAATTACCATCTAGTTTCATTTTTTTCTCATCTGTGGGAATTTTGTTATATATTTAGAGAGCCTAGATAGCTAATAGTTGTCTTGGCAACAAACAAGCTTACTGCTGAAATGATAGTATTTAAAAGTTATATTATCTGTTCAACTATTTGGACATAACACCAAAATTTAGCTCCCTAAAAATTCTGAAAAATATGCTCAACAGGGTATAAACATTCTTTTCTACATTTTCTTTCCTTTAATAAAATGGAAAAAAATAACTTTAAGAGAATATAAATTTTAAGTTAGCCACAAAAGTGTTTGTTTTGGTTTTTTTCTGTGCTAAAAAAATTTTTTTTAACTTAAGAAAATATATATATATATATTTGGAGCAATCTTTCAAAACATCTAAAAGTCATTCCATTTATTTAAAAAAAAAATTCTGACACTTTTAGCATTTAGACTTAGCAAGGTGTATGTGCAGAGGACATACAAACTGAGAAAGGCCAAAATGCCAGAAGTCTTTTCCAACAAG